AGAAGCAAAATCTTTATATGTAGATGAAATGATCATCTACAGAGAAAATACTAAGAAATTTCTAGGAACCCCTAGAACTTGCATTTGATTTTAGCAGGATTAGAAAACACAAGGTATATATAAAAATTCAGGTCTATGTATACTTCCTATAAATGCAGAACTGGATATTGAAATTTAAAAGTTATGCAGAAGTACAAAGAACCTAGAAAAGTAAAAAGAAAAAAAATACTGGAAGACATTTGTTACCTAATTTTAAAACTTCCTCTAAAGCTACAGTAATCAAGGCAGTGTTGGTGCAAGGAAAGACATATAGATCACTGGAATAAAACAGAGAATCTAGAAATAGAACCACACATATATGGTCCATTGAGAAAGATTATTTAACATTAACATTTTAATAGTAACATTTTATAGAACATAAACTTAATTCAAGAGCAGAGGAAAAGACAGTGTTTTCAGCAAATGGCACTAGAACACCTGGTATCTGTATGTAAAAATTTAACTTCAACCTTTTATTTCCATACATAAAAATAACTTGAAAGGATCTATGAACCTAAATATGAAAGACTAAAACTACAAAACTTTAAGAAGAAATTATAAGGGAAAATGTCTATGAATTTAGGGTAAGCAAGAATTTCCTAGAATATAAAAAACATGATGTATAGAAGAAAAAAATTGATGAGATTCCACCAAAATTTGGAACTTTAAATGAGATCAGTAAGAAAATGAAAAGTAGTCCTTAAACAGACCATATTTATAATGCATATATCCTATGGCCAGAATTTATAAAAAACTCTTACAGCTCATTAATAGACAACCCAATGAAAAAGTAGACACAATAAGTTGATAAATAGCCAGTACAGCACAAGGAAAATTGTGTAACACTAGAATCAGAAAAATATTAATCAGTATGATAACAAGATTGAATTATACACTCATTAGGGACATGAAGTTAAAAGTTTTAAAAGAACAAATGTCAGCTTAAGTGTGAACCAGTTAGAACTTTCTAATACTGCTAATGTGAATGTAAAATGATAAAGCCATTTTGGAAAACAATATAGAAATTTCTTATATTACTGGTAAGAACCAACAGTCCTGTTTTTAAGTTTTTACTTGAGAGGAATGAAAACATGTTCACAATAGCTTTGTACATACAAGTTGAGTATCCCTTATCTGAAATTCTTGGGACCAGAATGTTTCAGATTTTCATTTGAAATCCACTTGATCTGCAAAGAGGATAGCTACTCCTGCTTTTTTCGGGTTCCTGTCGCATGGAGTATTGTTTTCCACCCTTTAACTTTCAGACTATGAGTTTCTTTTTGAATTAAATGTGTTTCTTGTATGCAGCATATTGTTGGATCTTGCTTCTTGACACATTCTGACAGTCCGTTTCTTTGGATTGGTGAATTGAGACCATTAACATTGATGGTTATAACTGATATGTATTGACTTATCATTGTCATGACTTTTTCTGTTTCTTGGATTCTCCCCCTTTGGGTTTAATTTCTTGTCATGGCTGCCGGATTCATTATGCTGGGCTTCCTGGGGTTGTGATCCTTGTCGTCTTTTCCTAGGATATTGTTTAAAATTTTTTGGAGCGCTGGTTTGGTATTCATGAAGTTCCTGAGGTGCTGTTTGTCATGAAAGTATCTTATTTCTCCATCAATTTTGAAAGATAATTTTGCAGGGTACATCAATCTGGGCTGGAGGCTGTTTTCCTTTAGAGCTTGAAATACGTCACTACATACTCTTCTTGCC